ATAGAATAGCATAGTATTGTATAGTATAGTACAGTGCAGTACAGTATGATATGTTTTACTACAGTATAGTATGTTTTAGATCATGTGTTTTGTGATAGTATAGTATAGTATAGTATAGTATAGTATAGTATAGTATAGTATAGTATGGTACAGTACAGTACAGTACAGTACAGTACAGTATGTTTTACGACGGTATAGTATGTTTTAGAAAATCTAATGTTTTATGATATAGTAGAGTACATTATAGTATAGTATGTATTAAAACAGTATGGTATGTTTTAGAATAATATAGTTTAGTACAGTACAGTACAGTTTAGTATATTACAGTACAAAATGGTATGTTTTACTCCCTCCATGTATGTTTTAGAATATCATAGCATGTTTTACAATATTATGGTAGAGTACATTATAGTATATTATGTTTTAAAATAGTATAGTATGTTTTCGAATAGTTTAATACAGTATAGTATAGTATAGTATAGTATAGTATAGTATAGTACAGTACAGTACAGTACTTGTTTATTATGTGAGCAGCTGATATCCGTACTGCAGATTACAGTCACCTCCAGCAGATGGACTTCAGCATTAGTATCAGACTGCACAGGGCACACACAAAGCACTTTTCTGTGTGAAACAAAATAACTTTTTATTTTTATATTCCATTGTTATAGACTCAGCTATGCATTGATTGGTGTTTAAGCATGCTTGCATTCCTCCTGCATGATTTCCTTGGTGTGCCCAGAAGGACGTATGGCCGGCTGCACTTATCTGAACTGCCTCTCTGCAGCAACAGAGAGCTTGATCCTTTCTGAAAGGGGAATTGAACTCTCACAAGATGAAGACATGACATCTTCAGCTTACTTGATGTCAATGATAGGACAGCTCACTTGTAGATCGGGCACGTTGCCAGCCGGCTCTCCCCAGGTCCTGCACGCCGTCTCTGAACAGAGGCCAACGACACAGACGACATCCGGGGGAACCCCGTCACCTGTTGCTTAAAGACGCAATAATCAAACAGAAGAGAACTGGCCTCACTACTGGGCAGGGCGGGGTGGTCGGATGTGTTGTACGCAGGCATATCTGCGCCGGTTTCCTGGGATTTGTCAGGACAACAGCCAGAGCTGAGCCCTGAAATCCACTCCAGTGACAGAGATCATCAGCGTCAGCAGCTGATCTTCAGCCTAGATCATGTTCAGAGTGAGGGCCATGCCAGGCAGAGACACCACAGCTTCATCCAACTGCAGGAGGGGGAAAAATGTCTCCCCGCCAACACATTTCTGACAAAACATTCAAATCAGCACAAGTGTACGCTGCATGGGCAATTCTTAAGGCAATATCAACATTGGAGCATTTTAATATAAACAAATCACAGCTTTATTGATTTACATATATGTAGACAAAGTGCAAGGACTTATGCTCTTTGAGGATTCTCTCTCTCTCTCTCTCTCTCTCTCTCTCTCTCTCTCTCTCCTTCCAATCAACACTTGACACTTCCCCTAACAGTATTGCTTAATTGCAACCCGAACGAACCATGCACGCTCAATCAGAGAGGGAGTTTACTGTCGAATTTATGAAAATACACAAAAGAGGGCCCGCGTTAGTTGTGGGCTACACCTGCACTTGTCAAGGTACTCAAGTACGCTGGGTAATTGGCTGTTGATTGCTGCCATTAACATGTGATGGCTAAGTGCATCTAATTCCTGTTCCATTTCCACGGTTCAATTTAATGTCACCACCCACTCTTTCTCTCAGAGGTGATTAGCCCAGACTGTGAAAATTGTTCTTTTTTTTTTTCTAATGATATAAGCAAAATATAAGGAAGGCGGATGCAGAAACACCACTGTTCACTGGCACAGGAATACAGGAAATGTGTGATTCATTCCTTTCTTTTAATTTTTTTGTCGTTTTTTTTAAGCAACACGTCTGTGCTTTAGTGAAGTGTTTGCATTATTCCCACAGCCCTAATAATAACAGCAACATCCTAATGAAACAAAGCTAATCCTTTTTTTTTTTTTTTTTGTCTAACAAGGCACAAATTTCCCTTTTCTTTTCAGCCTTTTTGTCTGTGCAGTTTAAAGGCTGAAATGATTCCAGGGAGTGGTGCTCACTTTTACCATTTGCATCTCTTTCAATATCTGCACCTCTGGGCACTGAGACTTGGTATCCCTTTGAGTTTTAATCTTCTCATCTGCCTCCATCCTCGCGGCTGTTTCATTTAAGTTTTAATATGTGTATTTGACATTTTGTTCATTTAGACACCCCCTGCCCCCCTCCACTCCCTCCCTCCATCCACCCTCTCGCTCCTCTGCCCCCCACGTTTAATTTAATTGACGTGCTGCTGCCTCGTGATGTTTTGGTCCTAAGAGGAGATTTTTCCGCCACAGCCAGCAGGTGAAGTCCGGCTACATGTGTAGGCTACTGTAAACAGGGAGGTGTTCATATCTGCACGTGATTGGTCACTTATGGAGGTGTTTTGACATGTAGAATAAAAGAGACTGATAATAAAATAGCACGTGCATTTTTGCATGACAGCAGTTTTTATTATAAAAGTAAAATAACTTTTTTTTTTTTACCAAAAAATGTGCTATGAAATCAGTTATTATAAATAGTAAGAGAATAAGTAAAATGTATATTTTATAAGCACTTCCAGACAGCATGCTGAAATTGTTTTGAACGTGAAACGGTGGAGCTCAATGGACTTCTTTGTCTCTCAGATCAGACCTGCTCACCGTCCTCAGGAAGGGCGCGTCTGCCATCTGCCGGACACCACAGGTATTACATCCACACTGTGGAGGGAACGGGATGGTAGTTTGAGCCTCAGCTGCAGGGACGCCACAAAGTAGGGACCGGGTGTCCCTCCTTGGCCAGACAGTTTTATTCTCAAGTCCCAAGATGTTGCCTTTTTTAATTTCCCTTGGCTATTTAAGATTAGTACAACTTCATAAATATAAAAATATTTTCTGAAATATGTAACCATTTTAATACAAATTAATCTAATTAAACCTAGGCCCCCCTGAATAAGGACAACCAGTCTAAAACCAATGTCTTTTACATTAGAATCCAATAGGTTATATACTTAGCACAAAACGTAAGGAAATTTGTGTTTGGTTGATTATTTTTTGTTGTAACAATGGTTCTTGGCAATAGATCTTATACTGTTTGAAAGCCTGTTAAATTAATTTTACATGGGAAAAAACATGCATTTGGGGGATGAGCAGTACAGCTAAGTATGTGGGTTGGGAACATAAAAAAAATTGCCAAATCCTTTCAGCCAAACAGCTTATTTTGTTGTTACTGACACTTATTTTGAGCTTCTGGTACCCAAAGGTGCTGCCAATCAGGTGCCCAGTATAAAATTTATTGCCAATAAGCATTGCTACAACAAAGAAATATTCTAACACACATCTGTTTATCTTTTTGTGCTTATTTTAAAAATATAAATTCAGGAGGACAACCTTAAGTCAGTTTATAGTGACAATGCTTTTTTTCTCAATAATGAATATCAACTAACTAAAATAACTATAT